TGGGGGGGGGGGGGACTTTTTCTAAAGCTTTTTCGGAAACTCGTTTAAAGTTTGATAAGTGGGTTTTAATGTATTCTTTTGCTTTGTTTTGTTTTGCTTTTATTTCGCAAGTCTTTTCAAAAACTGGTTAAAGGTTTGATATAGAACTGAAGACGCCCCCAGTCCGAAAAAAAGATATCCCGTATGTTCACGTTGAGTGTACATAGCGCCTAATTGGTGTAACTAATTTTTCTCCTAAAGGAATTTACATTGCATCCTCTACCCAAGCCCCCATGCATGCATACACATCCACTCCCCCCCCCCCCCCCCCCACCCCCCGTTCTTTGAGGGTTTTTTTTTAAACGTTGCTCTTACCTTTGTTCTGATCAAACAGTACGATCGGAAGGGTGCATACACATAACTAATGGACGAAAGTTTTTAAAGTTCTGAGGAAAAAAGAGGACTTTATGATGGGAATAGGAGTGGGGGTTGGGGATGGAAAACAGCTTTTTGACCACGATTTCTGAAAAAGCCATAAAGTACAATATCGTTTCAGGGGTTAGTTGTTTATCTATTGAGGTAGTATTACTAGTATGTGAACAACAATGTGCAATAGGGAAACGACGTGTCACTGCACAACTTGCAGTGTGCCTCTGATTTTCTGTTGTATCCTTCTCTTCTCCCCCCGCCCCTCGCCTCTCTCTCTCTCTCTCTCTCTCTCTCTCTCTCTCTCTCTCTCTCTCTCTCTGTATGTGTATGTGTGATTACATTTCTCCAGTCCCTCCCCTCGTTCTCTGTCTCTCGCTCTCTCTCTGTCTCTCTCATTGTGTGTTTTTGTTCGCTCAATTGCTTTAACTGTTTTTGCCCCCATCGACATAAGTTAGATAATTTAGGAAGCTTTGACACAGCCCCTAAGGGACTGAGAGGGATGCAACGTCCCAGCAGAAGGATCGAGAAACTCGATAAAATGTTTCCCATACGGGAGTCGAGCTCAGATCTGTGCGACGGTTGAATGCTTAATCGTTGTACCACACACACTGGTTTGCCTGTGTGTGTGTGTGTGTGTGTGTGTGTGTGTGTGTGTGTTTGTGTGTGTGTGTTTGTGTGTGTGTTTGTATGTGTGCGTGAGAGCGAGCGAGCGAGCGAGAGAGAGAGAGAGAGAGAGAGAGAGAGAGAGAGAGAGAGAGAGAGAGAGAAAGAGAGAGAAGGAGAGAGGGAGGGAGGGAGTGTTTACCAATGAGTGCAGAAAGTATAGATTTCATTATTGTAAAGTTCACCAAGGGTAATGACCCCAATAAACACTTTTTAAAAGACGCTAATCACGAGCGGCAGCTTAAAATAGAACCCATCACACACATCGTACGCAGTAAAATGTACTTTTTTATGAAGGGTTTAACGCCTCTTTCGACACAACTTAGGGCATTCAGGAGGCGGGTTCGATCCTATTTTTTTTTCTAGATATTATAATAAGCTTACTCAAACAAAATGTTCTCCCCACGCAGGAATCAAACTAAAGTCTTCTGCTTGAGACGATTAAGCCACCTAACCGCTTCACAACAGACACCAGTTAAATGCGCTTTTAAATCACTTAGCACAATATGAAAGCCTTATTGGCTTAACGTAGACTCCCGTTCATTAAGCGGACAGGTAATATACTTTGGCTAAGGCCAAAGCGGAACTAAATTTCGAGACGCCGATCAACAGATGATTGATGGTGCTACATGACGCCATGACAGCTGACCAGCTACGGTGTATCCTCAGAAAATACGGAACGAAATATTTTTCGTTGTGCCACAGATTTATTTTTACTTCTTGTTTTTTATACAGGGTTTTTGATTAATGTTGTTTTGAACATTGAAAGTAAAACTATATTTGTAGGGATATCCAGGCTGTCTTACATGCTTACGGTCTAATAACAAAACTAGTGTATAAAAGCGAATGTGAAAAGCTGTTTATTTCTTTATGCTTCCATTTCAAGTCGAAGGATGAATTTAATATAAAACTACTACAAAGGCTGAAAATTGCTGCAATGTATGGCAATAAGGGCAGGCTACTTTTTAAATTATCTATTAACAAACAATAAAGAGAATGTCGAATTACTTGGGACATTAAAAGTTAAGTAAATATGGGCTCAAAGTTGTTTTAAACTTGAATGGAGGTCGCACTGAGTTTAAACAAACGACATGGTACATTTGTCTATATACCCCCCCCCCCCCCTCCGCCCATAAAAAAGACAAAACAAAACCAAAAAAAACAAACAAACAAAAAGAAGCAAAAAATAAATAAATAAAAATTAAAATAATCAAACACAAAAACAAAATATGCACAACCGGAAAAATGTAACTTCCACCACAGCGTCTGCAATTTAAGCCCCCTTATAAACTAACAACCCCCCTTCCAACTCCCCCCCCCTACACACACACACACATACTCAAAAGAAAAACGAAAGCAATGCAATTTCAGCAGCTACAAGTGGTATCACATTTCAATATACACCGGCAAACAGTTTCGGGCCATTTCTCTCAACTGAATTGGCTTACAGAGCTCTGTGAATAATAATAAGTACGAATGAGAAAGTAAGGAAGTTATTTCGTGCAATGTGACATTCTAAAGAAAAAGTCAAGATTTTTTCCACCGAACTGAAAGAGGTAGGCTACGTTTGAGGTTCCATGCGGTGTTTGGTTGTTATTATTTCAAATATATATTTTCTTTGCTGTTTGTCTTCCGTTTTATTTTTAAACCTTTCAACGTAATTACAGTAGCACGAATAGTATTAAAAGGTTTTCTCTAAAACCATCAGCTTGTTAATCATAACATAGAAACTACAAGAAAAGGTGTCCTTAAAATAAAAGAAATGTTTCTGTAATTGCTACTTGCACTTTTTCTGCAACTACATGCGATGCTAATTAAGTATTACTGTTTATTACATTGGATAGGTGGTTGTGGAGTTAGTGGTGGTGCTGCTGCTGCTGCTCATACTACTACTACTACTACTACTACTACTACTACTACTACTACTACTACTACTACTACTACTACTACTACTACTACTACTACTAAGTTACTACTACTACTACTACTACTACTACTACTACTACTACTACTACTACTACTACTACTACTACTACTACTACTACTACTACTACTACTACTACTACCACCACCACCACCACTACTACTACTACTACTACTACTACTACTACTACTACTACTACTACTACTACTACTACTACTACTACTACTGATAATAATAATAATAATAATAATAATAATAATAATAATAATAATAATAA